GCCCCTTTACTGGACTCAAAATTTCCGTTTAGATCGTCTCAAGAGGCGACATATAATAAGGGTGAGCGAGTACAGACACCCGAAGAATGGTCCGCGTCGTGTCATGCCGCTTCTTGCGTCTGGGCTGCAACGAAGACGACCACCCGCTCTTCCGCCGATACTACGCCAGGTGAGGACGACGATCTTCATCTTCTTTTCACGGCTGAGGACAGTCTAATTCAGGTATCTATTGACACGTATATAGGAGTAATCGGGAACGAGGCATTAAGGTACAGTCGCCTTCGTGGGGATCGACGCACTGACTTTTCTCGAAGATATCTAGGTATCAACTGGTGATACACTAACGTGAGACTCGCTTTGATACTAGCTCTTGCGGTGCTTCCCGCATTGCTGTCCGGAGCACGTACAGCGCTGCTACTGCGGCACTTCCATTCACGTCGAGGTGACGTTCGCAACTATTCGACCCTCGTCCGTTCCGGATAACCTCTTGGTGTGTGCTCGCTTTGAGCCATCGCGAATTGAACCTCTTTGGCCTAATAACATACTAGACGCGCCCCAGACTGATATCATTGACGAGAATGAGCGCACACTGCATCTCGGTGAGGTCGTGACACTACCCGCAAGTCTCTTAGGCACGGACAAGTGTAAACCTAACGAGACAGTGTGGATCCGAGCTGACCGAGAAGGTGAAGTGAAGCAAAAGACGCTCCCACAGGTTAGCAAGTTTCTGTTAGCAGCGACTAAACGAGCAGCATTTAACTTTAATTTGTTGTGACGTTATCGACACGGCCGACTTGGGCTACAGAATGCCGTTTTGTACGTGCTCAACAACCACCGCTTTCCCAAGTGGCAATACAGTTACGACAGCAGCGTTACCAGATCACAGCGAGAGATGACTCATCACTTAGTCGTCTACGTCTTCCACCTCACGGGTAGGAGGTCGCAATCAGGAAAGTTTGAAGCGGCGGTACTCGCTCGCCTGGAATCGCCAGGCTTTTCTCTCATGTCTTACCGTCGGTCTGGTAACAATGGCCAGGACGCTGGGTGTGATTTGCCTGCTATCAACCAGGCCTCCCGCAGCACGTTCTCTGCTGTTGAGGTCGATGTATCAGCCTTCACTTCGGCGTC